TCTCGATTATGCCCTTTCCATTTGTGACTGGGATACTGATGATCACAAATAATGTGTGAATAACCATGCAAATTAGTCTGACACTCTCGATGTCATTTATCACCAGGTTAATGTGTCGGTTAACCACCCACGCTCCATTAATCAATGATAATTTATGAGACACCTATTGCCACCATTTATTAGTCCATATTAGTGTGTCGGTTAACCACACACGCTCCACTAACAACTTATATAAAGTGAAATGTGCAACCTCATGGATTAGCATCAAATTCACATTTTCCTAAAGTAACTAAGATTGAAAATTTAATAAAAACATTTAGTTACTTTATTTATTCCATTATAGTTATTAATGAGAATTAAGTGTCCTATCAAACCCATTCAGCTAACAACCCTCCACCAATAAAGGAAGCGGCAGGTGATAGTGGACACCCATTCAACTACCATTTTATAGGCAATTTCCTTATACCATCCTTATAGATTGGCTTTGTGAATGAGGCGTACTAACGGTTCGACTGACTTGTCTTATACATATAGTAAATATTAAACTTTTAATTTTATATATAGTATAAAGGTGCATTTTAAACATTTCAAAATAATAGGGTTTTTTTTAACTTTATTCAAAATTTTGAAAATTCAAAGCAATTTAATTTAAAATTTAAATTTTAAAAACTTTGATTTAATAATTATCTATTAATTAAGCCTTTAGTTAATTTATTAAATCAATTTAGGATTATCCATTAAATTAAACAAATTTAATTTAACCTAATCCCTTATCCCTTAATTTCAAAAATATGGGAGGGATATATCAAAATCTTTAATTATCTTATTTAAGCAATGAAGAAGATAATTACCAAAAATAACAACCCTACCGATAACCCTAATTTTCGAAATCATGACTTGGGGTGGAAGGCAAGGCTTTCAATACTTGCCCTATTTTCGAAAACCCTAGGGTTAGGAAACCTTAGATATCGAAAATTTGGAGGCCATAGGAAAGGGTTAAAAACCCTTTACAAATTTTCGAAAAACATGGTTATGAAACCCTAATTTGAGAAATTATAAGGCCTAGGATTTAATTGCCACAAACCCTAATTTTGTCAAGTTCAATTAATTGTATCAAATATAATTGAAAACAGAAACCAAAAGCTCGAATACCACTGATGGGTTTTGACGATAGCAAACAATCCCTATGTGTGCATGCAACCATAATATGGTGGATCTATGTTTTCTCTATTAGACATACAACATTAAACAAAAAACAAGAAACCCTAGGAGGCAACTACAATTTTCAAAATTAACAAAACAAAGGGTTAGAATACACACCTTTATTGTTATGTAGTAATATCAATGGATTCCTTGAAGATCTTGAACTTCGAGAGCAAGTATCACAAGTGTAACACCTCTAATGGCTTACAAACACAATAAGCAAGAGGATGAGAGGAGATAGAGGAGGAAGATACTTCAAATTTTGTTTATCTTTAGGGTTTGATCACATGGACGAAATCCATAGGGTTGAGGCTCCTTAAATAGCTGTTGGTTGCTTAGAGCCAAAGCTAGGGTATTAAGGAGGAAACCATAATTCCATAGCTTAAGGCCTAAGCGGCCCATGGACTTCCATCCCCTAGGCCTTATATGAAAATTATAGTGCCTCCCTAGAAGTTTTTGTCCAATCCTTCTAGGGTGGTCTAAGAGCCCAAAACCATAACTATTAAGTAATTGCTAAATAGCCCCATATACTTTTAATTAATTTATTTAATCCCAAAATTAATTCCAAAGTAATTTATAATTAAATAAAATGATTTCTAATTAATATATTATTTTCATAATACATTAATAAATCATTTATACTAATTTATTATTCCAAATAATAAATCCTTCCTCTTTCTCAATAGGTGGTACTGTCTAGTTGCTAGTATGAAGGCAACCCAAAAGGACTATGCTACTATCAGTTCAAGTACGTACCAATTATAGTTATGGGCTTAGACATGTAATCCAACACTTTGTGCACCTTGGGGAAGAAGTAACTCATCGAAGAAGCATTGGTTGCATTGGAGCTTATAGATCCAGACCTTGTTCACCTTGATCTTTCTTCTGGAGGTATAAAGTTTGAATCTTGATGATGAAATTATTAGATCTACCTAGTTTTGGGTATTACGAGCTTTTGGTCACTTTAAATTCATAAAGTTTAGATCTTGAAAGTTTGTGACCTTGTTATGGATAAAGTTGGAAACTTTATCCATTTAAACATCATATTGATTCAGATCTGAAGGTTGGAAGACTTGGACTTAATGGATTAAGTTGAAAAAGATGCACTTTTGGTCCCTTTAAGACTTAAAGACAAGATATTGTTTGTTGGTACCATTGTAATGGATAAATTTGTAAACTTTATCCATTATGGACTCATTAGGAACCATACAAATGTGACCTTGGTCCCCAGTTTTCCTCCATGCATGGTCTTGGATGTCTTAATGGGTTAAGAAGTTAGGGTTTTTAGACATTGAAGACTTAATAGACATGTAAGACCATATAGTTGGAAGCTTTATGGTTAAGGATATAATTTGAGGGTTAGATCTAGATTTTGGATGAAAGAGCTTAAAGGGTTAAGCTCTTAATGGAACGGGAGGATGGCATCCATATACGCTGGGCGTACTAAAGGGTACGTTGTGCATACATGGTCAGCCCCTCGACTTCTGGTCAAGCATAGTACACCCCGCGTACGTGTTGAGTATGCCTAACATACTCAACTGAGTTGACCTGGTCGAATTGGTTAACTTTTCACTTTGACTAGGATTTTGACTAAGTTTGACTTAAGGGCATTTTGGTTAATTTGATTTATAGTTTGAGATATAGGTTCCTGTTAATTGTATAGGTGACCGGTAGAGATAGCTTTTAAAGTAGTGATCAGTGCAACTATTCTTTAAGACTATGAAGCGAGTCTCTTCATTATACTCGTGGGTCGAAGACACTAATGCCGACCCACTGGATTATGTTTGTTGGATGATGGTTATATTTCTGACACTTGCTGATATGCTTGTATGCACTTTTTGTCTTTGTGACTCATGCTTATATGTTTGTATGCTTATATTGGTGGGGTGAAACGGACTCGGGGGGTTTATACGGATCCGACACAGCTACAAGTTGCTATATAGAGTCATTATAGACTTGAGGTTGATATGGACCCGGGGTTGATACGGACTCGACATAGCTACATAATGTCATATGGGGTTGATATAGACCTGAAACAACCACGTGTTATTATATGTATGTGTGTATTGTATGTGGTATTTTGGGGAACTCACTAAGCTTTATGCTTATAGTTTCATATTTATGGTTTCAGGTACTCCCAGTTCGAAAGGGAAGGGCCCAACGTGACTGCACAAAATCCGCCAGAGTTTTCCACATTGGCATTTAATGATATTACTCTGATATTTAAATAATATATTCACTTTGATCGGTTTTGGAACAACTCGTTTCTATGATTTATTGTTTAAAAATGAAAATTTTACATTGGATTTTCGGGACGTTACATGTGAGTTTTGAGTGGGTAAGATTGGTGAAGTTAGTTTTTTGGGTGCAATTTACAAGGGTATTTCTTGCTAAGTACTGTCAACTAGAGATGTAATGAAGAGGTTTCAAAATTAGGTAGCCTTTTCTTGAAGCTTAGTTTGCTCCATTAGCATTTTTTGGATTTTTTTTCTATCTCAATGCCAGCCTCTAATAATGTGCTTATACATGAATATTTTAACTTAAAACAATTAGAATTATTGTGTCCCATGACAATGACACCAATATGTTAGGTTTTCAAACCCATAAATGAAAATAGGTATAATAAGAAAGTCAAAACACAACTATGTATACCAAAAGATAATACAAAAAAAAGCTAGGGTTAAATCCATATGGACACACATCAACTGTTTAATATCTCTTTGCGCAAGGCATGTAAATGGTTGTTTGATATGCCTCGTATTGGGTTTGGTAAGAGGTTTGATCTGACTCGGTTAGATTCAGACTATTTGATATCACACTTAGAAGCCTCTGACTCGATCTCGATTCCTCTGGTACGTCTCTTACTCGGTCAGATTCAGGGTTGTGTCTGAATCAATCATACATTTACTCATTCAAATTTGATTCTCCCAATAACTATCAAACAACTCATAAGTCTTGACAATGGTAAACAAAGAATAATAAATAAGAGTGGATGCATTCAAATGATTAAGAATAAAGAAACAGTAGACAAAATAGGTTTTAAGAATCAATTTGAGAAACGATTCTAGTTTCATGTTCTATCCATCTATAATGTAGGTTAATTATGAATTAATATATAGATCATCGGATCTAACTTGGTAGTGTCACTATAGTATTCACTACTAGAAAAACAACCTTTTACGACGCGCGAACCATGACACTCATTAATTTATGTTACGCAGCCGAGAGTGACATTAAAAATGTGTCATCTATTCAGAAAATTTAAGGATTTAGGTCATGCATTACTGCGCGCCCTTAAATTATTTTCATAAGAAAAAAATTAAAAACACGGAGGGCGCTGTATCTTAAATGTGCGCCCTCTGTAGGTGTCGCTTTATAATTTTTATGAATGCACATTCTTTAGTTACAAGCGGGAAAAGGAAAGCCGAAAAAATTAGAAAAGCCCGCTACCTCTTTGACCTAAGCGTTTTGACGCATCTTTCATTCTCCTCACACTACTGTGCAACCTTTTCTATGGTTACGATTTCATCTCCATCTCTCGACTTCATCTTCTCAATGAAGAAAAAAGGCTTCTGATTTCCATTATCTACTTCATCTCTGCTGTTCTTGAGAATACTCACCAACAGTGTTCTTGCACTATTCCTTGACCTGCTTCTTTCCGTATTCTTTTCTCCACAATATACTCAAAGACATTCTCACACACTTTCTCAAAAAATCATTTTTTCTCTCTCAAGAACCCTAGCTGTCACTCACACCACCATATTTGTAGTGTGTTCTGTTCGGATATATATGCATCGATGAAACAAGGAACTGTGATATGGAAGGCCACCCAAGTATTAACTCTTCAAGATTTAGGCCCCAACCACCCCATTTACATCGGACTACCAACACCACCGCAAACAAAGGTTCGAATTCCCCTTCCCCACCGGTCGAAAATCGCTTCTCCTTACAAGCCCAACATCCGATTGATGGGTTCGATTATCCTCTTCTGGTTATATAAAGGTATGTTGTGCTTACCATATTTCATCTACCTTTTCTCCATCCACACTCGGTACCTTTTTGTATTTGGATCCATTAACACTATACATCTCTTCTTCTTCCTCTCATACCAATGAATTAGGGCAAAATCTTCACCATCTTCAGTCAACTATGGAGGCCAACAACACAAAGAACTATGAAATCTTGGGTGTTCAAGTCCATCGATTTATTTGTTGGTGTTGCTTCAATCTTGGGTTAGAGAATTGAAATGGATCTGACTGAAGAGATCGAAAACAAAGGTGGCATATGGGCTTTGGAGCAGAAGATCGATCAACCAATGGATGTTGGTGGTTTGGTCTCACACCTTCTTTACTGTGGGATAGAGATCCTAACCATCTGACCTCTCTCTCTCTCTCTCATGACGAAGAACACAATTTGAAGGATTATCAATCAAGAATGATTGGATATGGTTATGATTTAAAAGGCAATATAAAAATGCAGTTGAGGTAGCTGGATCATTTTTTATCATGGGACTTGCGATTGGAGGGTTTTAGGCCCAGTTATTCTTCTAATTTCAAATTGCAGGTAGGTAAACTGAATATAACATATCGATGGAGGGTTTGCGACAACCAAGGTAATAATTTTGATTTGCTTTTAGTTGGTATTTCTCTTACTGGTACCCTTCTTTCACATTCTCAAATTATGTGTTCTTCTGTGTGGATTGGTTTGACATTTGAAAGAAAGTTTTATGAAGCACTCCAACTGCTCGATGAAATGCTTGAACCAGGTTTTTGGATTCATTCCAGTCAATTATTAGATCGTGCATTACTACATTTAATCTCAATTTATTTGTGGATTTTGTTGACTTAATCTATGTTATGAGCATAATGGATCATATTTAAATTATTATGTTATTGAATACATGCTAAACTTCAATGTATGTACAACCCATATAAAGTTTAAGAGATAGACGGTTATATGCAACTTCATTGAACAAAGAAGAGTTACAAATAGTTATGTCGAATTGACTATAGTCATAGTAAAAGAGATTTGATTTTGATGTGATTTTTTTAATAAGGAGCCTCTAAATAAATGTGAAAAATTTAAGGACTAGGAAATAGGACAACCCAGGTTAAACTATATAAATTGTAACAAAATCCTCAAAGGATATTCTCCTTCCTACAGACTCGTGCCTATTTTGTCACCTGCCTCATGGTATCATATCCTAGGCTATTTTCTGTTTTTTAGGAAAAGAATACGGTCTTTTCCAGAGAGCTTCTTGTTCGCCTCTTGCTTTGGTTGTTGTTCCACGAGACAATAATATGACATCGCTCCTCACCACCTCCTGCTGATGAAACACATTTTCTCTTTACTACTTGCCAAACTTCAAAGTTTCTTTCATCATATCACATGAACCATTAGAAAATTAATTTGAAGGCATGTAGCCATCTCTCTCTCTCTCTCTCTCTCTACCCTTTTCTCCCGATTTTTTGGGTCCAATATTTCTTTGTTCATCGTTATTGCTACTTGTTACCTATCTATGGCCACCATGAAATATTAAATAAACCAATTTTTATTTAATTTGGTTGAATACAGGCAGTTGTTTCATTCGAAGTTTGGATCTTTTTATCTTCCTTTGTTTAGGTTGTAATCCAGTTGGGTTGTATCCAGTATATGAGTTTATGGCTTGTTATATGTCAGTAGTTATATATGATAGTTATAATTCTGACCTTACCATGTTCAAATATAGGGTTTATCCCTTTTGTATTATGTATCTTCAATTCGGTTTATTCTTTGTAATATAGTCTTTCTAGATTTTGTAATTTTCTAATTGGTGTAATTTATTTTTGTATTGTTTTAAGCAGAACTTTGTGTTTAAACACTGATTCCAATGGGTTATTGCAGGTTGTTGTTTAGGAAAACATCAAGCTTCTCCACCAGCCTTACCAGCAATAGTTACCTTCTGTGTCCCTAAGTACCTGTACAAGAATGACAACCTTACATCTTGAATGACAACCTTACCCTTGATGCACCCTTTAACTTCTCTGCTGTGGAAGGTCAGTATCATAATTATGTTTATGGGCATGAATATTACATATTTTTCTTTTCTTATTTCTATCCCAGAGCATCTACGTAAGGAAGAAGGTGAAAAGTGCCCAACCACCACGCAAGTGATGAGAAATTGAGCATTTAGAAAGAAGTTTGGTCTTTGATCAAATAGTTGTTCATAAAATTGATAAGTCTTACCTTTGCAACTGCTTCTTTCTTACAGGTTGCAGTTCTCCAAATGTTGGAAAAACAGACGGGCCCCGAGTCATTTTATAAAGCAAGATGGTTAGCTTTACCTTCATTCCTTAGTATTATACTACTAAACTAATAAGGCATCTTCATTCCACTGTATTATTATTCTTCTTCTTGGCAATGGGAGGTTTTGAAGAATCTGGTTGCACCACCTAAAGATACAGCTCGTCCTTTGAGAACTCTCAGCACAAAAGAGGTGATTGCTTTGATTTCACATGAAAAAATATTATTATAAATTGATGGTAATTTTAAAATTTTAAGATGCAGTTTCGCCACTTGGCTAATGAAGTTGTTTATTTCTTCTACCTGTATATTGAAAAATCTACCCAGTTATAGAATTTTAAAAGTAAGAAATTCTTTTAGCGTACAATGCTTTAGTTTTTAGTAAGAAAATTATTAAAGTGAAACTATGACCTTTTCTGCCTTGTTAAGGCCTTTTGGCGTGTTCAGATTGAGGCGATTTTTGCTTTAGCTAGCATAGCATCTGAGGTATTATACTCATTTGTATAAATGATTGAAATACCCTTTTTGAGGCTATTACTAGATTTTCTTGATATTGGTCATTGATTGAAATACCCTTTCTTAAAGGTTAATTTTCTTTTCATGCTCAGGCCAAATGACTTTCATGATTTTGCAGAGTATTTTGACTAAAATACCCTTTCTTAGGTTGTATTTCATATTGGAGTAGACAACAACCTAACCACGGCCACACGACAACATTTTCTAATATTTATCACCCACCTCAACCGGTAACCACTGGTGCAGTTGACCCATTGGCTGGTGGTGGACCATGTAGTGTCGACATGGTGGGACCTGCAACAGCAGCTAGTGTCTATCAGCAGCAACAACCCCAAGCAACTCAAATCAACTGGCCTAACAACTACTAAAGTAACAAACTTCAACAATCAAAACCCAAAACCCGAAAAGGTATGAATGGATGGAATTGGATTATTAGGGATTTGATTTGAGTGTAAATCATCTTATATACGAGGGAGAGGAGGTTGGAAGTTTTGATAGAAGAGATTATGTTATTGTTGAAGGATATAATATATATATATATATATATATATATATATATATATATGATACATATAAAAAAAAGATGAATTCCTCTTGTAACCGATAAAAGCGACCATTTTTTAAAAGGTAGAGAGTGATGTGGTGGGGCCTTTTGTTTTTTTGTTAAATGTTAATCGTTACTGAAAGGAAAAGAAAATCAAAATGTAATTTTGATTTATTTAATGTCTCGTGTCTTGCAGTTTCGTGATGACTACTTATATACTCAGATGGTGCTGGGAAGACACTTTCAGTAGGCTGCAAGTTAGTATATTTGACATCCATGCCTTGCACTCTTGACATGTGGAAGCTCATGAGTTTCTATTAATGTATAAACAGGGGTGCAATTTGCATTTGGTCTGTTTCATATAGGTTCTAGAGTTAGATGGACTCTTGTGGATTTTCTTCGAGGCCATGGTGATGAACAAATAAGTGCACTCTCATGGAGTCCTGATGGAACATATCCTAAGTAACTTTTGTTTTGCTTGCATGCTGCTTTTCTTATTCAGTGCTACTTTGATCTATTTTGAAATGTTGATTTTTAGAGTCTTTTTGCATGACCAAATTTAATATCCAGTTATAATATAATGCTTCCCTTAACGTATCTTCACATATGTAGCATCTGCTTCATATGAGAGCTCATCGTTCACAATGTGGGATTTTGCTCAAGGTATATTCTTATGCATGTTGAGTTTTTCAATATACCCCAGAAAAGTTAATCATGACTATGCTCTTGTTGGTTTTTTTAAAAGGAAGTTAGAGGCGTATTTCTCTTTTGATATGTAAAAAAGCTAATGGATTACAACTTACTAGAGATTATGCTAAAAAGATGATCTTTCTTCATATATTGAGCTTGATATAAGCAATTCTTGTTGTGGGTATTTGTACAGGGGTAGGCACACCCATTCAGCGAGGATTAGGGAGAATATCACTGCTAAAGTGGTCTCCTACTAGAGATTACTTCTTTGCTGCAAAATTGTAATGTTATTTATCATTTGACTCAGATGTATTCAATTGATATATTCATTCAAGCACATATTAAAAAAGCTTTGGCACTAAAGCAATTATCATTTTGTTATGTAGTGATGGAACATTCTATCTATAGGAGACAAACACATGGACATCAAAACTGTTGTATTCAACAAGTGGCTTTGTTACGGTTAGTTTTTATTGCATATACAATATTGGTCCAGTGCATGTAGAGATGTCATGTAAAGTTGTTGTAGTATCTTTTTCATGTGTAACAAACACAACATTAGGGTTTATCTTGTTGATCTCTGAGTTGTTTATATAGATACCACATGATATTTTGCTGAAGTTGGGGCTAATTGCTATATATGTAGGGAGCAGCATGGGATCCTAATGGGCGTAATTTGTATAACATTAAATTTATGCAATGGATTATATTTTTTGTATCTAATTCGTTTGTAAATTTTTGTTACAACTTCTATTGATTTGGTTTATCTTTCCATGGAACGATTATTTGTATGACATTAAATTTATGCAATGGATTCTATTTTTTGTATATGATATTTATTTTCTATTATGAAGCATTAAATACAAATTTAATTTGAAAATAAGTAAATCTATAAATAATATTTTTTTTAAAACATTTAAAGTTATGATACGCAAAAATGTGTGTCATCTTTATTTATGACAGAGACTTTCTTGACAGGGGCTTTCTTTATACGCATTGTATGTCATTAACACGCGCGTCGTAAGGTTACGACACACGAATGCACGTCGTCTTCCTTTATGACAGGGCCTTCCTTGATACGCATTGCGTGTCGTAAATGCGCATCATAATTGTGCATCGTAAATGAGCATCGTAAATACGCGTCGTCTCTCTTTATGACAAGGCCTTCCTTAACGCGCATTTGCGCGTCGTCTGAGCCTTTTATGACGCGCAATGAGCGTCGTAAAAGGCTGTTTTTCTAGTAGTGATTAATATATGAATTAATTTATAATTAGTTCATAATGTAGGTTAATTATGAATTAATAAATCATCTATAATATAGGTTAATTACGAGTTAATATATGGATCATCAAATCTAAGTTGTAGTGTCATTTTACTTGTCAAATTATTTAGTTAAAATAAATTCTTTAACTAAACATATAGTACTAATTTAACCTAAACAAACTTTTACATTAACTTCAAAAGTTACATAAAGTTCTTTACAAATATTTCCGAACATTTTTCATTCATCTCATAAGAATTGGCAGTTTGAAAAACATGTGATATCAAGTTTATCATGAGATTAAATTCAAACATAGAATCAACTCATTCATAAATCAAACAAAATGTGAATCACTAGATGACATAAACCAAGTACAAATTCAGTAGTATAAATCAAACAAAATGTGAATCACTAGATTAGAAAACGAATAAAAAACATCAATACAATAGAATTAACGACACCTATAAAAGAGTCGAACTAGAAACCGAAAAATAGGGTTTTTTAGCCGTTCTTGACAAAAGATGAACGATCAAAATTATAACTAACCAAAGTACATGATTCCATCAAACCTCATAATACGTCTCGAAAATGACAATGAGTGAAGCATAACATTTAAATGGAATGCAAATATATGAAATAATCATGATAAATGATGCATAAAATGCATATAATATATCAATGATGGATATGATATTTTAAACTTAGATTTATAAATAGTTAATTGATAAAAATAAAGATTTAAAATGTTTAAGATGTTACCAAGAAAAAACAAAAAATTGGGCATATATTATATTTTATTATATTCTAAAAGTGTTTGAAAAATAAATATGATATTTAAAAATTATGTTCGATACATATAATATTTTGATATTTAAAAATAATATATACAAAATTGTCTCATATTTGTTTGGTGATTAACTTGATTTGTTTGGTGGCATTCAATGTAGAAGGATGCTAACGATTTTTTTAGAGGGTGAGTTTTTGTGTCATGTGGTGGAACATTTGGAGATACCATAATTACTTACTTTTTGGGAAGGTGAGATCCAAGAAAACGTATTTGGTTGATAGCATTGTTACTCGATCATTCTCTTGGTGTAATTATAGGCGTGATTTTAGTTAATTGGATGAGTTGATTTCAAAACCAAATTGTTGCTGTTTTGTAATTCTTTTTCATGATTTGTACTCTGTTATTCTAGCTTCTTGCTAACGTTTTGCTTTAGGTTTGAGTTTGCATTAAGTTTGAGGGAGTGGTGCATGTCATGTCATGCTGACACATCAATCTTTTGGTATCCAACTTACTACCATGTCATTTTTGCCACACGACATGTATGATATACCATTTTCATGGGTGAGTCAAATTGGTAAGATTCGAAAAGAAAAAAAAAGAAATAGTTGAAACCCTCTCTCTCTCTCTCTCTCTCTCCCGCGTTCAAATGTTGTTTGAAGCCAAGAAGCTCTGACATGCCGCCGTCGGGGCACGGTGTATGCCATGGATGCCATGAGTTTGCCGAGCTAAATGTCGTCACACACTCTTGAGCCTTTTAATATTTTTGTAGTTCTAAAAAAAACCATTCATCTCTTTGTGTAAGGAAAAGAGTATTAAATAGGACTCGTGCACATGGTTTATCTTCTCCGGATCCATAGAATATCTTTGTTTCTTGGAACCTACATGCACAAAAATTCATTCACCACTCTCTTTAATATCTTTAGTGGTATGCATTTATATAATGAGCTTTTATATATGTATTTTAGGACCATTATGTTAACATTGTTTTAGATTTTATGTAGATGTTTCTTTTATATGAATTTGAGAACCGATATGATCTCTTCGCAAGAATGCTATAAAGCGTAGATTGATATTGGATCTTTCTTTTCTTATAAGAATGTTAGACCTTAGTTGATAACAAGTTATGGATTAAGATGGTAACATAATTTTAAATTAATGGAATGGTGACGGAATATATATATATATATATATATATATATATATATATATATATATATATATATATATATATATATATAGATAGAGAGAGAGAGAGAGAGAGAGAGAGAGAGAAAGAGAGAGGTGGGTTCAATTGAGAAAAAATAAAAAAGGTTGAGATATATATATATATATATATATATATATATATATATATATATATATATATCAATTGAGAAAATAAAAAGGTTGAGAATGAGGGAATCATTCTCAGCTACTCATTTAATCTAAGCATAAAAGACACAGTGACAAACTTGTAAATATCGTAATAACCTTCAATCTCAAATACGTAACTATAGAGAATTCGATAACTGTTCGTTCATCATCAAAATTTTTCCTCCAACCTTCAATAATCATCCAGATTTCTTCAACTAAACCGGAATTTCTTCGTTGTTCATGAAATTGGAATCGGAGTTTTGGACTCGCAATCACAGTCGACATTGAGGGACTTAAAATCGGTACTCACAGGTTCCCAATCGGATTTTCGGAAATCAAAATCAAATTGAGAAATCGATCAGAGATAGGATGTCGCATCTGAAGTCAAAATCGGAAGTATATGATGATTTGGAATTGATAACTTGATGTTTTTAACATTTTTAAAATAGTTAACTTGTTTGCACTCCAACTGTTTGATGAAATGCATAAACTAAATTACCACGTTATATTCACATATGAATATGTTTTCTCACATGAATCGATATATGATTATTAAAAACACAAAACAAATATGCAAGTTTGTATGTTATTCATATGTGAATAACATATAAAAATTATATATATTTGTCAAAATACCTTCAATATTCATAAGTGAATATACCTTGTAATATTCATATGTGAATAGACTGTGTAATATTCATAAGTGAATATATCATCTAATATTCACAAGTGAATATACTCTGTAATATTCACATGTGATACCATGTAATACTATGTAATATTCACATATGAAATATCATTTAATACTCATAAGTGAATATACCATCTAATATTCACAAGTGAATACACTATGTTAATATTCACAAGTGAATTCATCGTCCAATATTAAAATATGAATATACTATGTTTATTATATGTTATATTCATATATGAATGATACTTAAATTGTAAAAAAAAAAAAGCATACTTTTTATTCATAAGTGAATAACGAATGTACTGTAATAAAACATGATGCATTGTTATTCATTTATGAATAACGATAGCTGAAAATATAATTTTTTTTTTTTTATTTTATCTTAAAACTATATCAATATGGATGTCTATTTGTAGAGAATAAAAAATCATGAATTTTGGTATATTTAAAATCATTTTTTTGATAAAAATAGCTTATAAAAATAAAAAAAATAAAACGAAAAAAACTGTGTTTTTGTATATATTAAGGTAATGATTAGCATAGTTTAAGAAAATATGTTATGTTGGAAAACACATGTGCATTCGTTTCCCATTTCCGCCGGTACGTTGGAGCCTTTTGGGCAAAAATAAATGAT